ATGGCTTCCTTTACTCCTCTCTCAAACCAACGTTCCTCTCTATCAAGGATGAGAACATCTCCTGAAAGAGTGACCGCTGGCCTGTAGATGAGTGTGAACTGTACAGTCCTGACCCGATGATGTAGCTCGTCTGTGCTGGCTCATTCTTTTGAACAGTGGCTGTTTTGTTTCCCCAATGTATGACTGATCACAGTCCTCCTSACACTTGACAGTATATACTATATTACTCTGTTTTTGCCGAGGAACTGGATCTTTGCAGTTTACACTCATRTACAGGCCAGCGGTCACTCTTTCAGGGWTGAAGATGTTCTCATCCTTGATAGAGAGGAACGTTAGTTTGAGAGAGGAGTAAAGGAAGCCATTTTTGTGAAGGAAAACCGTCCACCATTAAACAGWGGTGGAGGCCTTTGTGTCCAGTTGTCCTCCTCTTACAACGCTGTTAGTGCAAGTATGGCTCAGCCCCCTGTGAGCAAAAGGTGTGAATCAGGGCCCCAACGATAGTCAGGTGATGGGGCACATGATCCTCTATGAACAATAGAGCTAATCAAGACTATTGTTAGGCGATGGCCCTCTTTTGCATGTGACTAACCTGTTTGTCCCTGTGGAGGCAGTCCCTATAAGGCTGAGTTCACCTGAAACTCATCAGACTGAAGAAGTCTCTTGGAGAGATGAAATGTTTCACTAAAGAACCCGTCCAGAGGACCTACTTAATTTTTTCCTTTTGATTTTTTCTACCTGGATTATTGAGATGCATCAGAACATAATACTCCTATGTTGAATAGTTTTTGAGTTATAASCATTTTGTATGTCCAGACACCCACTATTTAAATTGAGCCCCCTCCTCAAATATGGGGTCCATGGTAAAACCATTAGCTGGTGCAATGTAGGTCAGACACATCTACATTACTGCCAAATTTCATGTTGATCAGTGCAGCCATTTCCGTGATACAGTTGATCAAAAATCACTGCGTGCGGGGGTCATAACGTATTTAAAAGAGGGGAGGTGTGGTGTGCAAATGTTGAGGTTGAAGCCTAGATATTAAGCCAAGATGACAGATGCTACTTTAATTTGTGGCTGGCCAAATCAGTGCATGTGAGCTCTACAAGAAACACTACCATCAGGTTTTACCACACTCCACCCAGGACTTTGCAACATTGCCCCAACTATAAACCACCAGGACTTCAGTACAAAAGTTTTGTGCATTCTTGAAACTATCATGAATTCAATATAACATAAAACAATCCACTGTGCAGCAGGTGTATTATCCAGTGTGAACAGGGTTTAAACAAGACATCATTTAATTTTGTTTGTAATGTTCACATGTAATTTTTTACACATTTCTTTGTTAGCTGTGAGGTCTATAAATCCTTAGAAAGCACATTTATTAATGCAGCACATTATCCAGTGTTACAGCTTCAGTATCAATTCAAAGGTTTCACTCATACTGTTCAGGAAAATATAAACTATACTCTGATTATTTTGTGTGCAAGAGCAGTGTTAAAAAGTTAAACATAAAATTTAACAGGATAATGTGACAAAACTTGCATAGATTAGTCAACAAAGCATCAAACTGTGGCAATGAAACATTTACAGATGTGTCAAATATCATTTAAAGGAAATTTCAACATTTTATATTTTTGTTACATAACTTTGCTACTGTCTTATAATTACTCCAAACTACTTTTCATCTTYGCAGTTTTCAGATTAGTCCTTTAGTGTTGTGTTTAATCAAACAGTATTAAATCTGAATTTTTTAARGAGTTTCCTTTCTTGTGGTTTAAAATGATTGTTTTTGTCTAACTTCTGCTCAGATGTACAGTACTAGCTACTTTAAACTTGGCTTGCTGGTCCACCTGAGACAAAGTTCTGCCTCTGGAAGGTTACAAGTATCCACTTTTAGCTCGTTACATTTTAGACATTTACAATATACAAAAAGTAGTCACACATTCAGGAAACTTTTAAAAATACAGGTTCAAAAACAAAACAAAAAAAAAATACAATTAAAATCCATTAAAAAATCCATTTCTTTAAGGACAGTCCAAGCATTAGATGAACCGGCCCTCAGACCTGCAGAAGTCTCCTGAGTTCTTTGTCCATGCCTTGTATTTTCAGCTGCTCCAGGCTGTGGTAACGATGAACGACGCTGTCTTCAGTCACTACCACCACCCTAACACCGTGGGTGTCCTCACCGAGCTGGCAGCCGATGGCTGAACTTATGACCATGTCCAGACCACCATGACAGCCGCCTGCATTTCGGTGATAATGTCCAGCAAAGACCGCTTTCACACCTGTGTAGGAATACAGATAGGACGAGACCAAAATAAATGTGCATACCAAGTTTATTACAGCAGTACAAAATAAAATAAACTTATTAAACGGGGAATCTTAGTAGTTTAAACTTCATTTTAGTGGCTGGATTTAATTTACAAACATGCAGGTGATGAGATTTTCAGTAGAAATGAGCTGCTTTAATTTTTAATTGCAAGTGTTTACATAAAGAGAATCTCTTTCAGYTGAGACATGAAGCTAAAATATGACAAAATAAAAAATGTATTGTYGTTGGTGCAAGAGAAAGACATTAGTGGAGGTAAGGATACCTCCACATCAATTTAAAAACAGCTTCTAATGCAGATACATACATGTCAAGTTGTACAGATTATCCGTATATTACACAGATGTTTTGCAAGACATATAGGGTYATCCTACAGATTTTTAAAAACAACTTTCATTCAAATTTAGTCTCAGTCGGCAGGCTGTAAGGAAATAATTTCACCACCTTCTCATCCTTCCCTCCATGCTGCTCTGCCGCTGCAGATGCTAGCTGTGTTTCCATTCAAATTAATTTTTAAAATGTTGAAAAAAGGAAGAAAATAAAAAAAGAAGCAATGTGAATCAGACATGTTTCTATATAATGGCTTGGAGGGAATCATCCAGGCTACACAAAGTCTAATTACGTCAGACATTGACTTTATGCATGGTTGTAGTAAACAGGAAGTAAAGTTGCAAACTCACAGGGACTACACATCTCGGGAGAATGGAGAAAAGTTATCAAGAATGTGTTGCTACTATCAGGAAAGTTGTAATTATTCTGTCATATCAACTGCGATGTCAACGCTGTTAGATCCTGTCTGGAGACGTAGAAAAAGAAARGCAATTCTCTTCACGTTATGGGAATGTAGAAAAGWGTCYTTCAAAAATGGACGTCTGAATAATAGCAGGAACACTTAGATCTCTTSTCAAAACTTTCTTCTCGTTTTTGACTCCAATCATTTTCACAGCTACACAGTAGACAGGCCTCAGAGTAAAAAGGCCTTCATCGTAAACCCAAATAAAACAGCAGCCCAGATTGTCCCAGGCTGCTCTAAGCAGAGACTCTACAAAACTAACAACTTCTACCCATCATGATTCAACTTTATWATCTCRTCAGGCTCTTCCTGGTTCCACCCCTGAAGGTGGTGACTTTATGTCAGACGTCAGAATGTAACCAGCTTTTGTTTGTGCTATAGCAGGAACACACATTGATAAGACGCACACCAACTCTCATTCTGTTTAAACGTAAAGCTGCAATGATCAGAAATGGTAAAAATACAATACTGGATCTAACATTTAGTTGATCATTTACAAAATTTACTTCAGGAATATCCAGAAAGACCCCAACAGAGTGAGAAGGGTCCAGCTGCAACCACAGCAGCAGCTGGTAGAATTGTTGGACAGCGGGAGCAGCTCATCAGTCATGTGAGAAATATGTTTGCTGCGTCAGAACTTATTCAGCAAATGTGTTTCCATCTCCCCTTTTGTGTATAAACTCTTTTCCAYAAAATCCAAAACCCACCTCAAACAAGCGTATAAACTTTTTCACGAAAATGAGGACATTTTTGCGAATTTTGCCATTTCCATCCACGTTTTCTAATGRGATACTTCAAAATGCACATAAACATTGATAGAAACATGGCCACTGTCATCTGCGCCTCTATACYTCCTCACTCCATGGCCCACAGTCCACTTGTCTGCTCCAAACTCAACACCTCCCTACCCCGCTAAAAGATGTGAAAGTACAATGGATTTTTTTTTGTGAAAATTACAGATTTCTGAGGATTAAGTTAAATGTCCAAATACAACTTTGCTGTCAGTATCAGGATAATAATCTGACTCATCATGATCAAACTGCATCAGAACAAGTCAGTTTATTTACAGTAGCGCCAAGTCACAACAACTTGTCTCAGGGCACTGTACGCAAAAAAATAAAAATAAATAAATAAATAAATAAATAAATCTAAAGAAGCGAGCCGACTGTGTCGAATCTTCGCTTCATCACAGTCTCCCATCCTGAGCAGTAAACCGGCAGCAGCGGAGAAGAAAAACTCCCCCTTAACTAGGGCTGGGCGGTATGACCTCAAATTCATATCACAGTATAAATTGAATCCCTTCACAGTAACGGTATACAGTATATCGCGGTAGAAAACTATCATAAAAAGTAAAGATAATGTAATTTTTAGAGTTTTTTTTGCAGAAAACTAATCTTAATCAAACCCAGCATTTTTGCTTTAATATCTGCCTACCATACAATGAGCTTCTGCCTGCTGAACTTATCAGCTGCTGCTCTGCTGCGCGCTCATCTTCATCATCTTCTCCATCAGAGCAGAAGCTGACTTTACATTAGCAAGATGGATTTATGACTGAAGGAAGGTCCACGTCTTTTTTTTTTATCATCTCTGGGGTAACAATACATWAAAACAAGTTTTTTCTCCAACAATTGGGTGTGAAAAAACTGCTATTAAAGCTTCGCTCTGTACGACGTGGAGGGAGGGAGGAAGGAAATGATCCCCACGTAACTTTTCTACAGCGGGAGGGGGAAATTTTGAGGATTTATTTTCTTTACATGTTTGAAAACGCTATAATTTCTTCGTTTTATTTCAAACTCCTCCTGCTCAGTTCTCTGCACTCACAGCCCTGTTCACACAGGTGCGATGACATAATGACGGTAGAGGGTAAATTTCTACCGTAGGCCAACTTCATACCGTATCTACCGTCTACCGCACATATTGCGCAGCCCTACCCTTAACAGGAAGAAACCTCCAGCAGAACCAGGCTCAGGACAGGCGGCCATCTGCCTCGACCGGCTGAACACAAATGTGACCTAAATTTTTATTAGTATAAGAATCTGTGGAGGACAGCACATGGTGGACCATTAAATTATTCATTTGCCACAGATGGAAATTGTTAATTTAAGCTTGAGTGTATGCCTGAGTGAATATATTTTCCTGTTAAACCCTGGTATACAATTGCATGCACCCAACCATCTGTGACTTTCAGTCAGGCCTGTACCTATTATTATGGTCCAAACATTTCATCAATCTGTTTGTGTTTAGGTGCTGTGTGAGATAGCAGCTTTTTCATGCAACCCTGCTTTCTCTCCAGTCATCCGACTTAACTAGGAAGACTCAAAATAGCTTCTCAACATTTATAAATGCACCATGACCTTGCTGTTGAACACAAAAAGGCCATAAATGTCCTCTATGTTCTAATTATTCTGTATGACTAAGGTCACACAGGTGTGTCTGTGTATTCTGTGGTGCAGATCGTTTGTGCAAGCATTTGAAATTATCTACAAGGACCCACCCAGCTTAGTTATTAAATCACTGTGAATGAGGGGGGAAAAGTGTGAAGTGGAATAAAAGACCCGATGGGATCACCTGATGAGTCAGTTAGCATTTGAGGGAAATGTTCTCACAAAACCCACAACAGCAAAGTCCTTTTCCTCACCTTAGAGGAGAAAGATGCCTAGATAGTAAGGAAGTGATAGACATAATCCATAATCCAAAGAATATTTTTTTAAAGATTATAAAAGTTTGTCATCCTTGTGTGAAATTACCACTGGCACCACGATTAGTCGCCAAATTGCGTGTGGGGTGGAATGTGTACATGTGTGTCGATACATCAGAATTCTGTCACCACATCCCACACACCACCACACAGTGACGTTGAGCTTCCCCCATATGCATGTGATTTATTTGTGATGAATTTGTCGCTGCATAAAACCTCTACAGGTTGATGCAGCTAAAAGAATTTGAAAATTAAGTGCTAATGTTCCTGTCTGCATTGGTACCAATTACTGGATATGTTTAACAGAAATATAAAATCGTCTGTGCCGTGCAAGTTTTAAAATTGTGCTTATGTATTGGTAGAGAGTTGTGAATTATCAAACACTGTCATTGGTGGACCTTGGGCTTAGGCCCAACAATTGAATGTTCCAATGATTAATCCTTGGGCTGATGGTCTTCTTTTGCATGTAAACAAACAGTTGTGATTGTCATCTTTAACTTGTTTGTCCACCATGTTGAAGTACTGCCTATAAGGCTGAGTTTACCTGTAACTCCTCACTCAGACTAAAGAATTCTCTTGGAGGAGAGACAAAATGCTTCATAATAGAAGAACCTGTCCAGAGGACCTACTGTACTTAAAACATTTATTTTCTACCTGAATTACGGAGATGCATCAGGACAAAAAAAGTGCTTTTTCATAGCAATCCAACCATGCACACCTCAAAAGATAAAATGTGCACTAACACACAGGACAAACATTTTTATTTTTTAACATTTATTTATCACCCTGGAGCTGAATACCTGTTCACAGGTGCCAGAAGTTGTTTGACTCTTTAAAACACAAATGAAGCATTCTAAGAAACTGTGGTTAAAACTAAATATTAGTTTAGTGATTGATTGGAATGATAAATCCTAAAGATTTTTCAGTTTATACAGTTAATACTTAAGTTTGTAAAGAAAAATGCAGACACTGCTATATTTTTGAACAGTTGTCTTCATTTTCTGTAAAGTGATTAAAAAATAGATACATTTGTTTTTCGTGGTTAGATTTAGAATATAATGTGCAGTTTTCCTAATGCARTGAAACAAAATTATTCTAACGATTTTGAGCTTTATTCACAATTTGAAACACACTATTATTTTAGACACAACTGTAGATCTCTTTTGTTTACGAAGTCACACTAAATATTAAATAACAATTTCTTCTCAACAACAAACCTTCATCTTATAGATCTTATTAAAGATCTTATTGTCCCATATTTTCTAACAGAACACGTCACTCTCAGACTGAAGGTTTACAAGTGGTTCCTTGAGTTTCTAAAAGTAGAACGGGAGGCAGAGCTTTTAGTTAAGAAGCTCCTCTCTTGTGGAACCAACTTCCAGTTTCTGTCTGTGAGGCTGACACTCTGTCTACTTTTAAAGATAGACCAAAATTTTCTATCAATAATGTGTTTTCTTRGTCTCTC